TGCCATATCTGAGTGAGACAGACGATGAGCTCTCCTCTCCTGCTGCAGGTGGTGCTGACGGTCAGTAAACCTGGAGAGAAAGGGGATGTTCCAGTGGGAGTGATAGCAGGAAGCGTCATTGGTGGACTGCTGCTGTTGGCTCTGGCCGTCGGACTGCTGTGGAAAGTAAGTGTCTGTCTAGTGTCTACCATTTGAAAAAAACCAATTACAATATAGGGAGCAACATCAGTAGAATATTGTAGCTTAGGCTTTTTTGATGATGATCTGCATTTTACCAAGAAGAATCTACCTGATCTGTGTTTCATGCGACTGAGCAGCTTTATGTAAAGTTTGGAAATAAAACATGTGTTCATCACTCGTCTCCTGCAACAGATTTCAATATAACTAGATATATTCTTACCAAAAACATATGCTAGAATCTCTTTTTTATTGATTCCGTTATCTTTTTCGTATAAAATAAAATGTGCCTGAACTGAATCCGTTTACTTTCCAGTTTGGGTTTTTCAAAAGAAAGTACAAGCAGCTTCAGATGGAGGATGACGACACGCAGAGCCGCGCACATGTGGATGAAGTGCTGTAACGTAAGACGAGACCTGCAGCGTCTCTCTGCTCACTGTTGCATTGTTCTCAGTGCGCATACTGGTACTCGTCACTGGTGCTCATAAAGTGCTAATGGTCTGAAGAGCAATCACTGTAAATTGGACATTTGAATTAAGTCGATAAAAGTTGGTGGATAAATGGGATTTGGACCATTTTACAGAGGATCTTTTTGTTTGTCTTTATTTTGTTGAGCTTTGTGGGCTATACATTGATCAGTTGCTGACTGACTTGAATTCAATGTAAAAACTGTCTTTTTCCCCCAATATGACAGGATGCAATACTTTTTCTTCTTTAGATGACATTATGGATTTAGAGTTTAACACTGTAAAGGCATTTAAGATACACATTGCATTTTTATAACAACATGGTAACATGATAGAAATATTGCATTCTCAATTAGAAAAACCTTATCTTTAATAATGCTCATTTGCATTAATCTTTTTATTACACATGTGGTCTGTAGCTTATACTGCTTTGCGATCCAGCGCCACCTCAACCACTCAGGGCTTTTATTGCATTTATTGACATTAGTATTTTCTATGTAAACAAGAAATGATACCTTTCCTGGACTGAGTAAAAGCTATTACTCTGTGTGTATGTCACTGTATATACTGTAAGATAGAATTTTGATCTTTCATATTGGGTTTTGTAAATGCAAAGGTTTTACTTGTGTTGTTTTTATCTTTATTGATAATATTTGTAATATTGATGATATTTTGTTGTTTTTTACCATTTGTTGCACATCTTGCCAGGTCTTTTTTTTAGTAGCATATTGTGTTATTGTAATCTGTTAAATGTGTATTGATTATTTAATAGTTAATGGAGTATGACCAGCAAATGTTTTTGTTAAACCATTAAATCCATTATCAAAATTGATGCAAGTACGTGTTTTCTGTTAACCAACAGATTGATAACTTTGGAGCGTAAAAAAACCCACAATGCCATAAATCAATGAAACACACTTTGTTTCTCGCTCAAATACTGTTCACTGCCAAGAAATAGTTCATGACTCTGAGATGGTGAATGGTAGTAATCAAATATATTCTGTGGTAAATCTGCACTTGGCCTTGGTTTCTCACTTACAGTGGGGGGATTGAGAGAGTTTAGGCTCAGTTGAAGCTGTATTAGCACAATGTTGCCACTAGATGGCAGCATGATATAGATGACGTGTTGGCACTGTTCAGTATTTTCTCTCTGTTCTGTTGATGAACACAATTCAATTAATACATCACATTTATGACCTATTTGGTATTGTGTTTCTCTTTTCTTGCATCTCTTCTCCTCTCCCCTCTCACTGGACCACCTTTAGAGGACTTGGCCATGAAAGGACCTTACTTGGACCACTTCCCTTTAAGTTTTTCGCTCAATTTCAATTAGTTTCCTCTCAGAGTTTTGACTGTCGTGTGTTCCCACAGTCAGGTTTCTGTCCCTTGACTGTGTAGGAATGTGTTTCTGAATGTTTTCCCTTTGAGCGAGCCAACTCCGGCACCCAGCAGAGTCTTAAGCATTTCTTCTGGCGAGGTGGAATATGCTATTTGTCTCTAATAACTAGCATCTTTTTTATGAAGACTGGACTTGAGCTTCCCTTGTTGGAGGGGATACATAGAATTTAGATGATTGAATTACTCTGTTTCACAATTACTCTTGCACTACGGGGTTGAGCAATAGCATTGGGAGTCCATGAGTACAGGGAGCTATGTGGAAATAATACTTTGTACATCTCCTGAGGGTTTCCTGCAAGTTGATTGACAGTTTCAGCCAAACATCTGACCAATGCCATGCACAATGGGACGATTGCTCACAAATGACTGCAATATTGTAAACCTAAAGTGATGTCAAAGCAAATTATTGAATACCCCTTGGCTTTGTTTTGTATTTTCTGAGAGATTTTTTCATCTATTTCATTCGATACCTAAAACTTGAAAGATTTTGTCAAGCCTGTCCGAAAGATATTGGAGTAGCTAACAGTATTACAGCCTGAACTTAGACTTTATTTTTTAAATGATGGGTTAGAGTACAACAACAAAGTAAATCCCCATGGCTTGTAGATATTCCTCTGTACTGATTTTAGTTTCAATCAGCACTAACAGTTTGCTGCGTTGGTCTGTTTGAACCAAACTTAGCTGAGAGCCTGGGACAGGGAGCACTGTGTCCCTCTGCTGATGCCATTAATGGCTTCAGGAGGACAGCCAGCACTTTAAAGTTGATACAGCAGTGCAGAAATGTACTCGCATGTCGGGAAGTGTTTTGGAAGCTTCCACTCTTAAAGGCTCTGATCTGGAGAATCACACACACCAGACGCTGAGTGATGTGCACACATAACTCAACATCTAGTAAACATTTTCATACTTGTTGTCACAGATACTGACTTCTGGCTTTTGCATCAATTTTGATATTTTCACAATTTCTAAATAACAAGTAGCATGACAACTACTACCTCATTAATGGTCCATTGATTTAACAGATGTATTTCCATTAAACATGGCTTATTCTAGTTGATAAGGTAAAATAGCTTAATAATAGACCTCATTTAATGTGACATTAAGTGATAAACAATAGTGAAGATGTGCCCCTCAGTCTTAAAAACAGATCTTTCTGAAATTTATGAATTTATGAAATGTCGTGATGTATTATTCACTCATATAATAATCATCAAAAGCTATAAATAATATTCATTAGAATGTTCTGAAGCAGAGAGATCACATAACTCCAGATACTTTGAAAGTAACTTATTGTGACTGCATGTTATCACATATTCACACAAAAGAACTGGAAAGAACAACCTTTTTTTTTCTTTTTTAATGATTGCATCCTTGTTTTTGAGTCTTGAGACAGACTGCTGTTTCTGATTATGATTTAAAGCAGGTTATGTTGGCATCCCTTAAACTGAGGATTAACACATCTTCTCTTTATTTATTATTTTTTTAGCACATATGTATGTGTGGCAATAAAACTAAATAAAACTGCAAGAACAGAGAATTAATCCTTCACTACAAATCAAACAACCTCTCTTTCTGTTGGATAAGAGAAGTTTGGTGGTCTTAATAAATAATGTGTAACCGGGGAAACATATTGCAACATGTATTAGACTCTATGTTTCTCTGTTGTTCTGTAGAAATACGAGTTTTGTTGTAACAAAACACATCGTTTCCTGTGTCTGTTTCAGCTTCTAATCCTCTGTTTATGTTAATAAAAGTGTGTAATATATTCAATAATAACACTAAATGTAGCCCAGTGCTGCCTGTAATGACATTGCACTGACAATAATGTGAATATTCAGATGGATACAACACAAACTTGAAACAACTATATGTTGATCTTATCACGTTTCAGTAGCAACACTTAAAGTTCTGGATTGATTTGGTTATTGTAAAGTTTTGATATTTTGAAGATTGAATAGTATTCGTTTTAATGAAAAAGAAAGGGATTGCAGTGTCCTTTATCTGGCCAACAGATAATGAACTCCCTGGTGTCTGATTCACACAGCAGACACTTTGCTCTCTGCTGAGAGCTGTAACCAGAGTTCCGCTGAAGAGGTCGCGCAAGGACTTCTGACGGAGATCAGCCTGTGCGTCAGTGTGTACGTGTGTGTGTGCGTGCACGTGTGTGCGTTTGCGCGTGTGTGTGTTTCATTCAATGAAATGCAACACCCCGCTCCTCTGTCTGAAGCCTCTTCGGAAACAGGTTTGATTATATTTAAAAGCTTGACCCAGGAGAGAAACCCAAACAACTGTCTGTTCTAATATTAGCAGTGCGGCTGCGGACTACTATGAATGCTATTATTGTCTGGTGGTCTCGGATATATTCCAAAAGGCAACTCTCATCAAAAGATTTACACTTTTGTCTGCAGTTTGTGGAAAAAATATCAGTTACCAACAAGTAATCTTAATATGAAGCATTGATGCCCAGATAGGCATGTTGGCTGTGGGCCTGTTTGATCATACAGTAATAAAGGCCTTTGATATATGAGTAACATTGACCTTCATTATTATTATTAGTATTATTATTATTATGAATATGCTCATTATTAATATTATTATTATAAAATAGGCATACCTAAGGACACAAGCAATGCTTAAAAACGAGCTGTATACCTCAATGTGATATAATGTGATAAAAAAGAATAAAACGATGAAACATTAATTACATTATTCTGCATCAAAACACGAGAAATATAAACTTACACATCAAATCTGATCTTCAGTTTTAGCTCTTGTTTGTCTGCAAAGCAGCACAATTCAGAAGGGCGGTGTTTAATCACACATTCAGACATATCTTCATATTATTAGATTATTGTGGTAAGAGAAAGTTGCTTGTAACGATGTCACCTGACTGGGATTGAAGGAATTTTGGTAAGAAGAAAAAAAAAATCTCCCCACCCCCACAGAAGAGGAGACCGCCCACCAGAGACAGTCAACCCGAGACCCCTTATAGATTTAAAAAGAGAGGCTGCATTCTCAGACTGACAGTTATTCAACACTGCCACCTTAAGCAGATTACTTTTGCGCTGCCTGTGTCAAATACGTAGTTCACTTTGCCTCTCCATCATGTTTAGGATGCTGAAACACCACTTTCACCCGGGCTTTTTTCTCTTGTTCATATGGCTTTGTCATCTCATGGAACATCAAAAAGTTCAAGGTAAGATCTCTTCATCAATTTTCCTTAATTATTTCCGTTTTGTAAAACTTCGACATGCTGCCAGGCACAATATGCGTCCGAGTGTCGGATACTTGCTGCAACTGAGAAACTTTCCAAAGTGAGTTTTCTTTTTCCACGCTGATAAAACTCTCTGCATCAGACAGTGCGTAAAGCGTCCATAAAACAGGTGCCATATGGGACACTTCAAAGTGACAATATGGCAAGTTTTGCAGCCCAGGCGCACGCACCACGCCGAGCTGGTGCAGCACCCGCTTTCTACAATACCTGAGTATATTGTAATACTTTTGTATGAGCGTTTAGTTTCTAACGATGGTGCAACAAACTTCAGACGATCCACTGTTACTTTATGGACGTGCTAGTTCTGTTTATTGCCAACATCCAAGAATTGTGTGCAAAAATAGCTTTTTGCTGCATTTTCTATTATTTAGTTTAACAAAATAATAAAACTGCAGACTTTTGAATGTAGGCTATCATTTCTTTTTATATCTTAGTTCGAACAGATATCATAGAAATCTGTCTTCAATTTAAGGAAACCAGCCTATGAGCACTTCATGTCATGTGTGTCTGTTTCGGTTTAGACATCCTGCTGTTGTCTGGATCAAATTATATTTGTGTACCAAGGAAATAGGGAAACAGTTCTGCTTTTAATTTTTTACATGTTTAAAATAAACTTTACAAAGGTGTGATAACAAGCACACTTCTCTAATCATTTTATCATTGTCTGGTGTGTGCATGTCTGGGATATTGTTCTGAAGCGTTGTAGACGGTGGTGTGTTAAGCTAAAGACCGTGCTTTCTGAAGGAGATTGGCTGCTATTTAACGCCGTCTAGACACTCCACTTTCTGTGCAGTGATAACAAGGAGGCTGTATGAATAAAGGACAACCCCCCCTCCAAAGATTATTCTTACTTTTTTTGGTTTGTGGCTGCATTGTAAGGGCTGTCAGTCACAGATGGGATAGGCAAGTGTATAAATCAGACAAAAATACTGCCGGGAGGGCGAAAGGGAGGGAGGGCGCGTCTCGGATAATACGGCTGCTTGTGTGTCTGGTGCGTCTGGGTCAGCGGTTTCAGACGTTCAGCATGCGACATTTCGAGCTTTTTTTGTGTCTCTGTTTGCAGCTGGGAACTGCTGGTTGCAGCAGGGGAAGAACGGGAGGTGCCAGGTGCTGTACATGCCCGGGATGAGCAGGGAGGAGTGCTGTCGGAGTGGAAGACTGGGGACGTCCTGGACCGAGGAGGATGTCCCCAACAGCACGCTCTTTAGGTGGATGATCTTCAATGGCGGAGCTCCCAATTGCATACCTTGCAAAGGTGGAGGTGCACCCATTTCCCTTCGTTTCCCATAATACACATCCCCAGTCATTTTGTTTAATACATCCTTAACTGATTTCAGAATACCAAAGTGCGTATAAATGTAATCTTTACTCTATGCGAGGATTACGCACAGGTCCAAAATCCCCACAACAAGCATCACCTAACAAATACTTTTTATTTTAGAAACCTGCGATAATGTTGACTGTGGGCCAGGAAAGAGGTGCAAGATGAACAGAAGAAGCAAGCCGCGCTGCGTGTGTGCGCCAGACTGCTCCAACATCACATGGAAAGGACCAGTCTGCGGCTCCGACGGAAAGACCTACAAAGACGAATGCGCACTGCTCAAGGCAAAATGCAAAGGCTACCCCGATCTGGACGTGCAGTACCAGGGAAGGTGCAAGAGTAAGTAGGCCTACATATTTAAATCAATGTCCACTTCGATTCCATATTTGTTCAAGCTGCATGTACGAAGAACCAGCGGTGTGTTCTTATTTTTCTTGTATGTTGTTTCATTTTTCACGAAATCTTCCAATTTCTTTGTCTCGACAGAAACGTGCCGTGACGTCTTGTGCCCCGGCAGTTCCACATGCGTCGTGGACCAGACAAATAACGCGTATTGTGTGACGTGTAATCGGATTTGCCCCGAGGTGACGTCGCCGGAGCAGTACCTGTGTGGAAACGACGGGATCGTCTATGCCAGCGCGTGTCACCTGAGACGAGCTACCTGTCTCCTCGGCAGGTCCATCGGAGTGGCTTATGAGGGAAAATGCATCAGTAAGTCTGCAACTAGAGCAGTGAGAGTGTGAAACTCTCCGAGAGTGACGCACTGACTCTGAATATTGTTTAAGAGCATTTCTTCCTGGCCAGCTCTGCAGTTATTCACTGTTCAATTTTGCCAACATTCCACTGATGAGGGGGTCTCAAAGAGAGAGAGAGAGAGAGAGAGAGAGAGAGAGAGAGAGAGAGAGAGAGAGAGAGAGAGAGAGGAGAGATAGAGAGAGAGAGAGAGAGAGAGAGAGAGAGAGATAGAGAGAGAGAGAAGAGAGAGAGAGAGAGAGAGAGAGAGAGAGTGTGTGTTTGGTAGTTGCTTGTGTTTGCTCAAGCAATGATATACATGTTATTATTTCCTGATGTTGGCAGCATTATCCCACATGGGAGAGGGGGAGGGAGAAGGAGAGCAAAGCAGGGGAGTGCTGGGGGCCATTGAGTCAGATCTCATCCAGAGAGCAGCCTATAATTTTTGAATGCAATCCAAAACGTGACCCTCCCCAAGACACCCACCCTATAATAGAATTACGTTTTTATACATAGCATATCCAACAGGCAATCTGATCCTACTTGAAAGCATATTTGATAATCCATCTAATCAAACACTTCCCATGTGCTCACTTCTTCCTCTCTCCTTCTAGAGGCCAAGTCTTGTGAGGACATCCAGTGCAGCTCGGGGAAAAAAGTGTCTGTGGGATGCTCGGATGAGCCGGGGACCGCTGCTCGCTGTGTGATGAGACCTGTCCGGAGAGCAGGACGGAGGAGGCGGTGTGTGCCAGCGACAACACCACCTATCCCAGTGAATGTGCCATGAAGCAAGCTGCTTGTTCAATGGGGGGGCTGCTGGAAGTCAAGCACTCGGGATCTTGCAACTGTAAGTAAATAACAAGCAAAGTTTGAAAAAAAGAAAAGAAACAAAACACCCTCTCCAAGCAAAAGACAATATTCCATGTTGCTTCACCAACAAAAAAACTTCCCCTGAGAGTGCCCCCCATTCCAACTTTTCCCCAACTCTCACCCAGCCACACCACCAAGTACAGCTTAATCAAGCAGAAAGGACTTGGGAATAGAAGAACTTGCATGACGTTGTCTTTGTCGCTGGCTTTTGTTCTTGTGTTCTTGTTTTTTTCTTTCAATTTTACCTTTTTCTCAAATATTCTGCGAAACTAAAAAACAGAGAGCTGAATGAAAAAGCATAACTATATATCAGCACTCTGTGTATGAGTCTTGAACACGCTAACTCCATTAAACTAACAAGCAAATTATAAAGGAGACTAATTTTGTTTGCAGTGGAACAATCCTGATATTTAAAGTCTAGTTAACTTAATGGTCATGCTAGTGACCTGCAGGAGCAGGTTCACGGAAACCTCATGCAGTTTATTTTTTTAATCAGTTATGATTTTTTAATGCAAGTGGTCGTTTCTTTACAGCTTGTAAATTCCATGGTCACATTGCTAATTTCATGGTTTTTGTGTTTTGTATTATTATTTTTTCTTTGTGTTGCTTTTGGCTGTAATCAATCAATTCAAAATGCACTGCCTCTTGTGACATACACCACACTGCCAACATGTCAATAGGAACAGAGTACTAGTAAATCATATGATGTGCATATAAGGTGATTGTAACATTGGTGCCATGTTAGTAATAATGACAATTGATATTTAACGTTGGTATTCATGTAACTACTTATCTGTAGACCAGTGAGCCATTCATTCACTCCCAAATCTGGAGGCAAACCACCAAATTGAACAATGGCATCAAGGGAGTATCAGATTTACATTCCAAGTTGCTCCTTGTTAGTTTTATTTCTCCTGATAGAGTACCTTACTGTGATTTGCCTGAGGTATGCAATGGAATCCAAGGGACCAACTTTATGATCACCTCATGAGCTAAATGTGATACTTTACAGTGTGCAGGATAAGCATTGGTAGCTTGTAGAACCACACTCTCTTATTTCTCATCTCATCATAAGAAAAAAGTTAACATTTAACAGCTAACTTTTATTGTCCGTGCTGTTTCCAGTGAATGTGTTGTCTACCAGAATATGTATCAGAAATGACAAATCTATTTGGATTGATGAGGGACTACCTGTTTGTTTGTTTTTTGTCACTCTTGCTCTCGCTTTTCTTTTTTTAAATCTACGTGTCCGATGTAAATCTCTTCTGTAAAAAGAAAAGAAAATACCTCAGAACTGTGTTGATGATTTCTGACCTGCTTGCTAAGGCCAGGCTGCGACACAGAGTCCTCCCTCCCTGTACGTTTGAGCCACAAAGTAATAATCCGTGCAAAGAAAACTAGCAAATCCGAGAACACAAGAGCACTTTTCTGTGTTATGTGTCTACCTTGAGGAATCTGCCCAAAAGAGACCTGAGCCACTGCAACAAACAGGCCCAGTGCCCCCATCCCTGCAACCAGCCCCCCCTGTAACCCCCACTCCCCATCTCCCATGCACACTTCTCTCCATCATCCCGTTTTATTCCCATGTTGCAGCCCTGACTTGCTATATTTTGTAAATGGAGTTGCATATTTGAGGATGCTAGAGTAATTGTTGAAGTCTTACAGACCCTTCCACCGAGATGCCCACACACAAACATTAACACTTACACACACAGACATCAACAAAAGGGAGGCTGTGTGCCAGGGGCTTTGCTGTGAGCTTTTTTTGAAGAACATACAGTGATATTCTGCACTGTTGTGGTCCATATTCATACAACAGCTACCATATATTCTCCCATATAGCCATTACAGAAGACCAGGAGGAGGATGAGGAAGATGAGGACTCAGACTACATGGCCTATGTCCATATATCTTCTATACTGGATGGATAGGCCCCCATCACTAGGGGAACAGTCCTAGGGCAATGAATCATGTCCATACTGTACATTATGTGTATGCTTATTTATTTTTTAAAGAAAAAGGAAGTATACATATAGTTCAGTCTGCTAGATGTTTATTTATACTTTTATGTGTTTTATAATTTATACATTTATGTCAGGCTTACTATCTACCATGATATATTGTGTTACCACTCATTTCCCCCTTTTGGTTTACTTTTTTTTTATCATGAAGAAATATATTTGTCCAAAGAGAAGCAGTGTTATTTATTTGTCATGTTACCGTGTAAGTATAAGTCCTCTACAAGCTGTACATTGCATTCCCTGAGCTGTAAAAATCTGCTTGTTTCTGTCTAATCTCTATCACAGATGTTTATGTCACACATACGTAAATGCATGTTTAGGCTGTGTGTTTATTTATTGGGAATATATCAATCATTTGATGTACATAAGTGTTTCTGGTTTGTTTACAACTCATAATAACTGACCAAAGGGATTATCTCAATGGTTTTGCAAAATAACATTGTAAGAGTTGCAACACAGTAGTGGAAATGGAAAGAAAAAAAGAGCCATTTGTTTTTATTTTTCCTATTTCTTTGTCAATCTTCAGTTTTTGCCCTTTAGATTAGTTTTCACATGGAGAAGACAACTTTAGACATTATTCAGTAGCTTTTATTTTGTCTCACTACATCAGAGTAGAGGTAAGTTTGGGAAGATACTTGATCATTTTAGAAACAATGTGCCAATAACATTTATGTGCTGTCTTCTTGCCAATGTACTCCATATTGCTCTTGCAGAGCTAAAATAGGACTAACATACTGCAGTACTCAACACTATATTATATCAGACTTCATCACTTGGTTTCTTTTTGTTGTTTTTTTCTGTTTTTGTTTTTTTTCGTTCTCAGAATGCATTGTTGTTTTCAAACATCACAAGAGAAATACAAAATTCTGTTATGAATATATAGTTTTGTATTTTTTATGTAAATGTCATATGTACATACAAAGTTTGATGGTATTTGTACAGATATGAAGAGTGAAACAATAAAAGTTTTTTTTCCTTATACTTCTCCTGACTCTGGTGTATTATTGATTTGTGTAGCCTGTAGTTTAACATGTCAAAATGTTAATGCATGTTTTAGTTCCTAGAAGAAGTTCGACCTAAAGGACATTTTAAGACCTAAATACAGTAAAGGGTTTGGGAATGTGATTATATACTTTAAACTGTAAACAATGATCTACCATAATGTATTTTATAAATCTTGTTTGTGATAAAATGGGCTACTCTGTGATTTGATTCATAAACAGTTCCTTAAATGATTTGCCAGAAACTTCACTGTACTGTATAATGACATAAATATATTCACATATAAAATAAAATACCTAAACCCAAAGATTTAATCCATAATGCTTCAATACAAACTACAATACAGTATGTTCAAATCATACAGTGTTTAAATGAACAAATAACTTTATATTTTGCACTGTAGAACTATTACTGTAAATAATAGCTATACAAGATCTCCATAAACTGTATGCTTTTCAAAACTCATAACCAAGTTACAACAGCAAATGGACGAGCTCTTTAAGCCAATTAAACGTTTTTGATCCAATGTTCATCCTGTCAAGCAATAAACGCAAGTAAATAACATAAAGAGGGAAGTTATTTTTTTCTAGGAGTATGAAACAAGGGTTAATGTGATGAGTTTCTTTCCATTCACACCATCCTAATCGTTTTTTGCGGTATGAAACACACATCCGCAGCGTAAATAGACGCTGGATATGTCTGGACATGTCTCGCTGTAAATGAAAAGCAATATTAGCCGCTGACATCAGCTCTCCATCTCTTTTCCAGCAGCTGTCTCGGCCACGCGCTCCTCGCACAGTATGTCCCTCTGCCGTTTCCGTAAGTCATTGTTGACAACAATCATGGCGTCCTCAATGTCACGTCTCTGCGTGGGACGTGTATCTGTGCTAAATGCAGCTTATAAACTGGCCCTGAATCCCATCAGGTAATTTAATATTGTTTGTTTATAATGATTAAATTCGCGCGGGTTACTATGAGTAATTTAATCTGAAACATTTAACTCCAAATCGACTAAAGACAACGAAAGGAAGTCGTGTGTCTGGCAGGTCACAGGCATTATAAGCTAGCAAACGTTAAAGCATAAAGCCTTCCCAATAAGTATGTAACAGGTTATCGCCCTGCATTGGACACATTATATGAGTTTTTAATGACGTACTTGCTCGCATATGTAGTCTTTAAAGTAACTACTCTGTTAGCAATAGTCAATGATATCCTGTGTCCTTACAGCACTCGGCTAGCCAGCTAATTAGCCGTAAGTATAGCTAGAAATCAGTTTAAGAGCTAACGTGATTAAAAGTCGCCCGCGGCTCCACACAACATGCGCTGCATTCCATGACTAATAATCGACCAGACAGAAACTTTATTTAATAACAAACTTCACCGGAGATGTCAGTATCACTGTCTGAATCACGACAGCTAACCTCTCCGTGCAGGGAGCTCACTGGAGGCTACATGCTAACACAACTCGCATTAAAACAACACGACAGTCAGTCAACGCTTTTATAGACAGATATAAACAAATAGTAACAATGAGATTTGAATAAGGTTTAATACAACTGGAAATGTTCGGTTTTTCTTTTAAAGTATTGTTTGCTTTCGGTGTGCACTTTTAATATTTTGACAACTGCACACATACCAATCATGCAGCAAGTTGCGTTTAATGGTTGCATGTTTACAGTTTAATTTGTTATTTTACTTTATGCTTTATCCTGGACGTGTTTTTCCTTTCTGATAACAACTCATATTTTATAATTTTATAATCCCACATACATTGCATAATAGTCAATATATTCAACCATCAATACCCAGTAACCAGATGCAGTAAATGAGTTGGTGACGAGTCCTATACTCACTTAAGTAACTGCAGTAGTAGTAGTAACTTGTTTTCAGTACAATTTGACTAATTTTACAATCCGAATGAGTTAATCAGTTATTCGATGTGTTCGGGACTATCATTTCCACATTGATTGTATTGCAGTCCACACATCAGTCGTTACTCCAAAATAAGTATCCCAACTCTAAGCATGTGGCCTGGCAGACATCAGGGGGTATCATCTCAAATCTACCTCCATTTGAGAAAGTCTGTCTCTCCCAAATGGTCATTTAAAAAAAAAGTTCTTTTAAAAACGATTTTTATTTTTTATTTGTTAAGCTCCAAGTGGCTCTTTGTCAGGGACAGAGGTTCCACAAATAAACAAGATAATGCAGAGACATTTTCATACTCAGTTTACTAAAGCGTCATGCAGTTCATGTTGCAAGAAGACACTAATTGCTTTTAAGTTTTGTTTTCAGCTAAATTAAATAAAGTGAGACTTTCTAATCACACAATACCCACAATGGCCCCATAAGCTGTTTTAATTGATCATTGACTTAATCTTGTACAAGATCCTTCAAACATCATTGAATAGTAAACAGCACGTTAAATTGAATTTGTTAACCATAAATACCAGGTATCTCAGGCGAAAATTCAATTGTCAAATTCTAAATGAATATCATTGCCTCAATGTGAGTTCACAGATAACGGTGACTAGAAACAAATTCCTTTATTTAATAAGACAGTGTGTTGGAAAGATAGCCAACAAACTAAACAACTTTAGAAAAAGGCAGATAGTTGAACAAATACTTGAACAAACAGATGCAAATGGTGACCATTTTGAGTTGAGTCGAGTATAAACTAATTCAACTTGAAGTATTTTCATAAGGGATGCACGATATTGTTTTTTTGATACCGATACCGATAACTTCCTGCTTCTCAAGACCGATAATAAAAAAAAATTACGCCACTAATTATTTTAACGCATGTGTATTTTTTTTCCTCGGCCGCCCCGTAGTTTCAGAGCGCATCGAGTTTAAAATACCATCTACAAGCTGATGCTGACAGCCCCGCTCCTGTCGCCCGCTTGTGGCAGACCACACTTCCACGCTCACCGGCAGGCACCGACTGGCCATCTGGAGGACCGGGAGGGTGTGTGTATGTGTGGCCCGAGCGAGCGAGAGAGAGACCTTACGTGCATTGTTGTTGTTAGCATCTGGTGCTAGCTAGCTGCGCTAACGGATATACGGAGCTATTTAAATGAAAACAGAGGAGTGACATTTCGCCACAACTGCGCCGAGCACTTGACTTTATGCAGGAAGCCAGACAGTGGGACATTGTACGAAAAGTCAGCACACTCAGCACGGATAGTGCGCAACATGATTGCAGCGTCCAGGCAGCTCCGGTTCGAGCATATGCCTTGAGTTGCACATAGCTCCAACGCCCATACCACCGGCGACATGTTTGTTTACTGTCCTGGCTTCACGAGGAAGCTCCCCTCTTCCTAAACCACTAATACCACAGTACTGGCAAAACGGGAGGAGCCGAGTGAAAAACAAGCGCCCCTCATCCCAATCCACCCACACCGCAGTATTTTTTTCTTTTTTTTTACCCAAAAAATATATTGTATATTATCGGGGCTATTAATACTGGTATCGGGTTTATCGGGATGACGTCATAATTCCTAATATCGGACCGATAATTATCGTGCATCCCTAATTTTCATACTTAATTGATCAGTCCAATCTTTTTGACCCATGTTTAAAAGTATATACAGCATTTAATTTATCATGCCATGAATCTGAAACAAACACATTTGTGGCATGTTTGCACTCATTTTCATATGTTTAAAAAAAACTAAGTTTAACTTCTTCTTTTTAAATTCACCATTGTATAACATTTATATTTGATACATTATACATGTTTCTATTTTTGACACTGGGCCTAAATCAAGCCTTGACTTAAAGGTGGGGTAGGTGATTTTGGAGAAACCAGCTCGAGTGCGCTAGAATTTGAAAATACACAACCGGAACAAATCTGCCACTTCCTCACAGAGCCCCTCCTCCAACACACACGAACGCGCACATGACCAATGAGGGCACGAGATAAGTTTGTGCACAGATGGAAGGCTGACAGGCAGGTAGGCCATCCAGTTACTTTAGCCGGGCCGGCTAAAATGATTGGTCGTGCTTTTTACAGTACTACGGCTTCCACAGATGACATTTTTTAATGGATTTTTTGTCAAAGCACTTAAGATATTCATTGCTATCTGGATGTTAAGAGCATTCCATGGAATATAACAAAAAGTGTATCTCGAGCCGGTTTCTCAAACTTACCTACCCCACCTTTAAAGGAACAGAGTATATATTTAAAGAAAACGGTATGTAGGACAGTAACTCCCCCAGAATCCATAGTGTAATTAGACACAATGCAGTCCATGCTTTTATTTTTTTATATTTTAATTTGAACATGAGATAATGAACTTGGAATTTTAAGTGTAAGTGATTTACATTTTTTTAAAGGGAAAAAGAGGAGATTATCAGGGCATAATGTGGAATATGTGCGTTCCCTGGTGGAGCCTGATGGCACATTGCTGTTTTGCGACAGTACGCGGCCGCACATAATGACAAAGAGCTACACAGTCCTCGCCTGACACTCGACACAGCCAGCATTAAGCCCGTCCTGTCATTAGGACGAGAGCAGGAGCCTGCCAGAGATTCACCAGACAGAACTAATAGGTGGCGGGGGGATTCCCTCCTTGTCGCTTCCTTTTCACCGTCCTCTCCCCACCGCTTCCTCCAAGATAGTCAGTGATTGCCCAGTGCAACTTGTTTGTGTCATTTCATTCTTTGTTACTTGTCTTCCTTTGGCAGTTTGTGCTTTGCGTGTAATGTTCATCTAATGGGTTTCAGGTCTACAAGCACATCAACATCCAGGCTGGCAGAGAAACCAGGACAAGACACGCAGCTTATTACCGTTGATGAGAAATTGGTAAGGATCCCTCCGTGGCCAGCGTGACAAACAAATTGATGTTTGTCTGGTCTACTGTCGTCCAATTACCTTCCTGGAATATTGTTTTAAAAACTCTCCTTATCTGCTGCCAAAATGAGTTTGTATTGGACAGTAGGGCTTTGTAACGCTGTGATGCTAAGGGCAAAATTATATCATTGGTAGTCCTGTGTGCGCTCGCAGCATTTTTCCTCTCTTCACTTTTTATTGAACAAGAGACTCCACTGAATAGTTTACTTAATCTGTTTTAGTTAATGTGACAATCTTTGATGCCAATGAAATTCAGATCTGCTTTATTTGTTTATTTGGTTGCCAAGACCACCAGTTAATATACAGTACATTTATTTACAGTCAGGTCACAATGTAGAGGTCTTATTGAGGTTATTGTTTTCTAATAATATGAACACCCCATCTATATTATTAGGCATACACTAGCCATTTAAATCACATCTCAGTTTATGTATTTTAACTTAAAGTATGTGCAAATGTAAACTATGTACTCGAGAGACAGTGGTCAATAAAGAATAGAGGAACATATTAATGAGGCTGGGAATATATGGTACCTACCAAAACAGTTCAAACAAATTGAAAATAATAAACACAAAATAACATGAGATGAAAACAGAGGCTTTATCATACATTGAAAATACGTTACCCTCCCAATTATCAATACATTTAATGAGGCTGTCTGAAAAGAAAGGGTACCAAACACATTAAACAGACAGTAGGGGTGTAACGGTATACGTACCCGTACCGAAATTATTCGGTACGGGCCCTTCGGTTTGGTACACGTGTGTACCGAACGAATGTAACGTTAAATGTAAAAAATTGAGAACGTGAACAACTTTTTGAAAGTAATCTCAGGTGATGCGTCGCAGCATTCAGAGTAATTTGCTCACATTGGGTTCCACGCGTCATAGAGAAACCAAGTCATTTAATTGGAGAGGCATACTATGAGAGCTGGTCACAGGGATGCGTTCAAATGTAGTCAGTAATTTGAGGAACTGTCGAAATGGCAAACGCAGATAAAGTTGAGCTCGAAAATCCTCCGGCATCATTGAAGTCTCCGGTTTGAGAACATTTTGGTTTCGCAGTTACGTACAAGGATGACGGACGAAGACAGGTGGACCGAACCAAAGCTGTTTGTCGGCATTATTCAACTCAAATAGGTTACGCGGCTGGCAATACATCAAACTTGCACACTCATTTGAAATAGTGATGGGAATTCCGGCTCTTCTTGGTGAGCCGGATCATTTGGCTCGGCTCGCCAAGAAGAGCCGGCTCTTTCGGCTCCCAAACGGCTCTTCAGTTTACCACATATTATACCTTTTATAATTAAATCAAATGTAGTACTGTTTTGACTAATGATTTATATGTGTACACATATATTACTTAAATTATTCAATACATCCTTTGTACTGAAGTATTCAAAAGTAAAAATGACATGTTGAATATAAATGATTTGCTGTGGCCAAATGTTTTCATTGCATTTACAGACCCGTGTAACTCTCTGATACCACCCAATGAATGCATTGACTTGCTTGTCGAACCACGATACACAAAGCAGATAGCAACACCTATAACAACTTAAGCATAGACATTTAAAAAAAGGGGCTACTGTATCGACATTTTAAAATTATATTTAAAGAAAAGGCCCTGACAAAACAGCAGGGCTCTATTTCAGTAACTATTAAGTATTAACTATAGAAAAAAAGACAGCAACAGCTGACATCAAATCTTTGCTGAGCCTAAGGATAATCATAAATAAATAACATAGTGAAAATAAATATATTGCAGTGCTCAAAACAGCAGCATCCAACAGTCTCTAATCCTTGGATATGACATGTCACTGCATGCATACACGGAGCAGCTGTAGCGCGGAGATCATCATATCATTCTGTCTTGTATTACTTAACAACAAAAAACGGCTCGTTCGCGGGCGCGAGCCGGCTCCCGTCGTTCACTTAAAAGATTTGCGACCGACACATCACTAATTTGAAAAGGCATCACCCGAACGTGAATATCACCGGTACCAAAAGAAAAAAGACTGAAGTGCAAACCCAACTCCCACTAGCATTTAAGCCTCCACCACTCGCAGAGAGTTCAGACCGAGCCAAAGCTATTACAAACACCAAATATCCTTATGTTGCCATGTTAGCAAAGCGCTACCTGGCTGTATCTGCTGCCACTGTCCCTAGAGAGGGTGTTCTCCACAGCAGGAGACATTGTTAGTGCCAGCAGATCTGCCCTTTCAGCAAGCAATGTGGACAAGTTCATCTTTCTTAAAAACCATGAAAATACAATGACAAGCCGAAAGTCAAACTGGCTGCTTAGGAACTAGTACAGTAAAGTTCAAATACAGATTATTTCAGTTCATCGAAATGCTGCACCTTAATGTTTATTTTATTATATTTTGTATTTGTTTGAGTGAATATTCACAGTTTAATAATAATTTAAAAAAACAAGAAATATTTAATGTTTTGTGATAATTGTTTCTGCTGTACCGAAAACGTACCGAACCGAACCGTGACCTAAAAACCGAGGTACGTACCGAACCGAAATGTTTGTGAACCGTTACACCCCTTACAGACAGACTACATAAAGCCAAAGAGAAGCTTTCTGTGTCCTTTGATTGGATGGAAGTTTACTATCTAATTCATAGTTTCAGTCCTTTTATCGAGCAACAATTCCAAGACTCACTGGTTTCCTTATATTCTACATTATCCTTGATTACAAACTGAATATTTTTGGTTTTGGACTGTTGATCAGACAAAACGAGCAACTTGAAGACATGATGTTGGGCTCTTTAAAACATTTGTATTGTTAAATGAATGACAAAATGAATGTCAATTGCTGCAGCGAATACATGGCCAAGAAATCATATTTTTCCAAAACACTTCGGGGAGAAAATCACCCCCATGAACATGATTTTTATAAAAGTAACTGGAGCAGCAGACTGCTGCATGTTCTGTCCATTTACCCAGCAGTTGGAGAATACATCAGTGGCTTTGTTTCATGGTTTCCTGAGCGCAGTGGTATTGTCAACTGGAATTACCTGGGCACACCGGGGTGCTCCAAAAGCACTCTGAGATTAGGTTTGAATTAAAAATGTGTAATTAAAGCTAGTTTACTGGTCACCAGGAGACTAAGTCAGTATTACTTTGTATATGAAATATGTGGGACGGCTCCTTTGAAGCTTCATATTTAATCAGACAATGAGCATGCATTGGAACTGGCCAAGGTGAGCAATGTGCAAAAATAAGGATCTTTTGAAGTGAATGCTTTCTCAATTAAAGACGAAAGAGATAGGAGATAACAGCGAAAGACGGAGTTTGGGGAGAATGTGGGAGTCTGTTGTGGACCTGTTTTTTGGAGGGGGGTTGCTGTGTGTGGGCAGCGTCAGTGTGCTTTTGTTCCAGACCAAAGCTGACCATACTGGCAGACAAACCTTTGGCTGGGCGGAGTGTCTGTCTCTGTCCTCTCAGTAGGGGCCACTGAGAGGAACAGCAGAGGAGAGGAAAAAAAAGGGCCTCTAAAAATGGGGAGGGGGTGAAAGAAAAGAAGCTTGCATGGAAAAAAGTTTTTGAGACACCCTGAGACTCACGAAAAAGACAGTGGCCACTTCAGTGTTGTGGGCCACAGAGGTTCCTTTGTGGCGTGCTGTTGCTGGCGGGAAGTTCTCTAATGCTCACCCAGACAGGCCGAGAAGAGAGGCCCTCAGCTGTTTACAGTACAGTGGTCTCCATCTCATGGGAGAGGGCAATGAGAGCACTCTCCCTTTTGGGCATTCAGCACATGTCAGCACGCTAGTCATTCATCATGCGGTCAATAAGTGTGAATTGCGTTCTGGTTAGACCAATCAAACAGCGGTCTCGATCCACAGCGAGGTTATGCTGGGTTCGCACGCTGTCTCTCTCGAGCGACCCGAGGAGAATGTGGTGTACCGCTTGTTATATAGTGAACATTTCTGAATAACCTCATTTAGATGACGAGGTTGCATTTTGGCCTGGGTAAACGATATTTTGAAATCACTCCAAAAACTCTGTCTGAATGTTTGCGTGACACTCAATATCTTGTCCTTAGTTCTCGTCTTTCCCAAAAAATGCAAACCTTGCAGGAACTTGCGTCCCTACAGTTTTGTTGGCCCTCTCTATTACAGGTACATTTAGGCTAGACTCTCCTGCAGGTCAAACATGTGAACTAATGCAGAAAACATTTTCTTTACTGCATTTGTGAACACTTGTACTGGAAGCTGCAGGAAAATAATAAGGACAACTGTTAAAATAACCTAATAAAGTGGCTTTAAACTGGACACAATGACTATGTTGGTTGTACTGATGATATACCCAGAGAGAGTCTTCTTTTAACTCATTGGCCTCTTCCCAATACCCCTCCTCGGCTCCTCTCTTCCCCTCCTCCGGGACTTGACCCGGAAATCTATCAAGGCAAGGCAAGGCAAGTTTATTTATATAGCACTTTTCAACACAAGGCAATTCAAACAGCTTTACAAAAAATGAAAGAGATTAAGAAAATGGCATATAAAATCAGTCATTAAAAAGAAAAGCTAATAAAATAAAGATTAAAAGAAAAAATACATGGATAAAAGTTACAGTGCAGTCTAAGATATGAATAGTTCAATTAAAAGCAGCGACAAAAAGAAAAGTCTTCAGCCATCAAGACACGCCATTTTGAAGGACGTCCCAATAGCTGAAATGCACACGGAGGAGGGGTGAGGGAGGAGGGGTGCGGGAGGAAACGAAAGGGAGGATACACGCGAGCAGACTACGCGGAAGTGTTTTCACTACTCGCGTATAAAAGCCCCGCCCCCTCCCCCACCCTCACAGCTGGTCGATTTCAACAGAGGAAAACGACAACTGGAAGATGAGTGGAAAAGCGTCACATAAATGTATAAGTGCTCACAGCTCCGTGGGAATTATGTGCAATTCAGGAACCAACCATCAGACATTGAATTCCTTGACTAA